CTCCAAGTTTGGACCCCAGCAACGTGTATTCATAGCTAAGATTCTTGGCTCCAATGTGTATTACTTTTCACTTGCCTATGTTGAACCCCATTTGCCACGCTGATGCCCACTCGCCCAGCCTTCACAGATCCCTCTGGGACACTGCACAGTCTTCTCTGGTTCTCACTGCCCTGAACATCCACAAATTTAGCCACTTCACTGCTTACTCCCAACTCCAAATCATTAACGAATGAGTTTTAAAGTGCCAGACCTAGTACTGAACCCTGCAGTACCCCACTGCTGACCACCTTCTACTGTAAAAACTGCTCTCTGTTTCCTGTTAATTAACCAGATTTTAAACCCCAAAAAAACTAGTCTTATCCCACGACTGCTGAGTTTACTTAGGAGCCCTTGATGGGGAACTTTATCAAAAGCTTTCTGGAAGGCACACTGGGAGTCTGTAGGGTGCAAAACTCAGGATTTCTAATATGCAAGTTGGATGTTTATGATTTCTACGGACATTTCTGCTCAAACTATCACTAGGGGGCTCTCGTCAAGAAAATCTCCACCCAGTTTGAGTGCATAGTGCAATATTTCATTTGAACTTTCTCACAGAGGAAATATATTGTTATTTTTCCCCTGTGTACAAAAATGTTGACATGACCTGGACAGTCCAGGCTACCCAGATCCCACCAGATCTCCTGAAGCGAAGCAGGGTTGACCCTGGCAAGTATTTGTGATTGGCCAGAGGGTGGCTGGCCGGAACAACCAGGAACGAAACTAAATTCAGACATACCCACACACCCTCATCACCCGTGGTTGGCTCTATTTACAAGTCACATCTTAATAGGTCTACTTTCAGATCCGGGCGAACCCATTGGTGCGCCCTCGGATCCGAAGTGGCTATTGTCTTAGGATCGAAGGTCTGAAGGTTTGTCGGACCGCATGGCCAGACTACCGCCATGGCGGCCATCTTATTGCAGCTGATACGTAACAGTAACTCTAAGAACCAAGCAAAGATATTGGAAGCCCTGCCTTGTACTCTCACAAATGTCCCCGGAAGTCCTTGTCCTTGTGAGCTCTTTGGGAGTCAATGAAAGGAACAGCCAACTGTTTTCATGAATTCTTGGGCTTGATCCCTGCAAACATGTTGGGGGTAACCTGAGTCCTTCTGGCTCCAGCAAAACTCCACAAAGGAATGCTTATATAGATCATCTGTTTGTTTCACCCAAGAGACTGTTCCCTTTACATAAATACCCTCTGGACGTTTTTTGCTTCCTTGTTGCCTTAGGTCTGTGGCAATGCACCCTCTAAGCTGTGGAGTCCTATGAGCAAAAATCCTACTTTGTGAGCTCCTGGCATTAAAGTTGTGAGCGAGCGACTTGGCCCCTGTGTAAATGAGTTTGCTCTGGAGCCCTCCTTCCTGAGCTGAGGCAAAAAAGGGGGGAGCCGGAGGCTAAAAAACTGAGCTAGCTCATACCAACTCAGCTTAGAGGGAACACTGAGTGTCTGTGGTTGTCAAACTGCCGGTTGTTTGGGGACTCCTTTGCCCACCCATTTGGCCGCTGAGAAGACACAGGAGAGGAGGCTCCTCACACACAGGAGAAGAGGCTGGGCTATGGGTTCTGGGGATTATCCTCAGTGCCTGCGGGGCACCAGCTGGGCCTCACCTCTCTGGAACCAAGAAGGGTCCCAGAAGGCATCTGTGAGCAATCTGTTGTCTCGGGTAGGTTGTCCTCACTCTCTCACGGAGGAACTCTCTCTCACACACAGTCAGGAAAATAGGCAGAGCAGGTGCCAACATTTTGAACTGAGAATGACCTAGAACAACTGAGCCTTAAAAACTTACCTAACCATTGCAAGAGTGTTTTGAGAGCTCCGGATTTATTTCTTTAGTTTATTGTCTTTAGGCTTTAAGCCGTCTTCCACTATAAGATTCTCAATGACATTTTAAGAAACAACACAGTTCAATCATAGTCCATAAAACCCACACAACTGGCATTAAAACAATAAATTGGATGGCGAAGGACGTGCGACTTCTCTTTGGAAATGCCAAGGCCCAGTTGGTTGTGGGAGAGTGAGGGGTCTCTGCATCAAGGCCAGGCAAATAGGGGGTGGGCTCTGTGTGGTGGGACCACAGTGGAGATCAGGTTGGACATTCACCCGAGCCCCAGGCGTTGGGTGATGGTGAGATATTGAAAAAATGGTATTTTGCAGAGATAAGATAGTCCAGCAGAGCCAGAGTAAGATAATTCAGACTGTCCATGTGTGATTAAAATATAAAGTTTTTACTAAATTCTAGCATGGGAAGGGTAACTGGGATGAAAATACCAACAGAGCATAATCGGCTACATCCTTAGTCTACAAAGACAAAACTAGAGATTATGGCTACTCTTCTTCTTCAGAACACCAAACAAAGACGGGAAGAGAAGCCATAAAATGGTAATACACCTTGACACTTTAGTCCCAATCAAATCCCTAGATCAGGGAGAAAATTCCCAGGCAATCCACATCTAAAGAACATTGGTTACATGAAAAACATGTGACTTCCTGTGAGTAACATAAACAAACATTTAACCCCAGACATACTGAGTGTTTTCAACTTGTAATACCCAACACCAGGCCTGAGATCCAGAGCTTTTGGGAAGGACCAAAGCTCCACAGCAGAGCCACCACTTGGCCGGCAGAAAGTCCTGAGCTTGTGTGCTGCCTTCTCCAACAGTCTTCCAAGGTAACACACCCTCACGCATACACACACAAGGGGTTCCTGCAGATTCCGTCTTGAACCTGGCATCTACTTGAGGAGGAAGTCTGAGAAACCCTCATTTGGAGTACTGTGTACAGTTCTGGTCACCACACCTCAGAAAGGATATTATAGCATTGGGAAAAGTGCAGAAAAGGGCAACTAGAATGATTAAAAGGTTGGAACACCAGGTTGGAGAGCCAATTTGGTGTAGTGGTTAAGTGTGCGGACTCTAATCTGGGAGAACCGGGTGTGATTCCCCACTACTCCACTCGCACCTGGCTGGATGACCTTGGGCAAGGGGTAGCTCTGATAAGAGCTGTCCTTGAAAAAGAGCAGTTTCTGTCAAGAGCTCTCTCAGCCCCACCTGCCTCACAGGGTGTCTGTTGTGGGGAGGGGGAGGGGAAGGAGGTTGTAAGCCCCTCTGAGACTCCCTTGGGTAGTGAAGGGTGGGGTATAAATCCAATCTCCTCTTCTTCTTCTTTCACTACGAAGAAAGGTTAAAACGCTTGGGGCTCTTTAGCTTGGAGAAACGACGACGCCTGAGGGGTGACATGATCCAAGTCTATAAGATTATGCCTGGGATAGAGCAGGTTGAGAAAGAAGTCCTTTTCTCCCTGTCTCACAGTACAAGAACTCGTGGGCACTCCAGGAAATTGCTGAGCAGTCGGGTTAGAACAGATAAAAGGAAGTTCTTCTTCACCCAAAGAGTGATAAACACATGGAATTCACTGCCACAGGAGATGGCGGCGGCGGCGGCCACAAGCATGGACGGCTTCAAGAGGGAATTGGATAAGCATATGGGGCAGAGGTTCATCAGTGGCTATGAGCCACAAGGTATAGAGAGGAGCTCTCAGTCTGAGGCAAGGGATGCTCCGTATTCTTGGTGCTGGGGGGGGGGGCAACAGGGGGAGGGCTTCTAGTGTCTTGGCCCCACTGCTGGACCTCCTGATGGCACCTGGTGTTTTTGGCCACTGTGTGATACAGAGTGTTGGACTGGATGGGCCACTGGCTTCTCTTCTGTTCTTAACTTCCTCTGCCTATTTCATGCCATAAGTATAGCGCAATAGTAGACTTCTCTGCGTTCACCGGCAAACCCCTGTCTACCAGACACAGGCACAAACTTACAAAGTGAAAAGAAAACAAGTCCTTGGCTTGGGGCCTACCCCCTTCCTGTGTCTCCGGTTCATAGCGGCCAACTGGCCCAAGCCGAAAGCAGCCTGTCTCTGCTGATGGCTACACACCTGACCCGAAGGAAGTGCTGAACTGGAGCCAGGCACAGCAGCCGGAGAGGCTGGAGGGCCACTTTGAGTCCGAGTAGACCAGCCCTGGGCTGGAGGGACGGGTGGCCCAACTCAGAGGAAGGAAGCTTCAGGTGTTCACACTGGAGCTTGGCGGAAGAGAAGGGGCCGGAGGAGCAATCCTGAGATGTGACGACAGAAGGACTGGTAAAAAGACTGGAGATGTTTTTTGTCACTGATAAAGCCAGCAATGGCTGCTGCCGCAAACCCTGGAAGCGACCTGGGATCTCGCTCTCCAGAGGAGGACTCTCTGAGAAGGGGCGCTTGGGGCCGGCTGTAGTCTGCCCTTCGTGCCATTCCCGTGCGCTTCCCAGAGTCCGTGGCCACCTCAGTCCAGGGCAACCAACCCTGCCTGCCCTCTGGGGCAACAACAGATCTCTCTCAGGAAGGATTACCTGCTGCCTGCGGGGAAGCCTTTCCGGCCAGGACTCTGGTCAAGATGTGCCTGTGGTGGATCGAGGGCGGAGTTCCGAATGGCTTCCAAGGGAGCCCAGATTGGGGCCTTGAAGCAGGAAACGCAGGGCTGGCGGCGATGGGCCAGGAGAGGGGCCGCTTCCTCCCTGCCCTCTGTTCCCAGGAGCCGTCGATCAAGGGCAGTTAAGGCTGCCATTTGGGGCCGGGTGGAATGGAAAGGCTGGCGAGGGGGCTCCGAGCGCTGGCAGGGGCCCCTGGCACGCCCCATGAGTCCGGGGCTGCTTGGGCACGGGCACGGCGGCGGCATTC